CTGTTTGCTCTATATCCACGTTGTATTCAAAATGTGGAAATGTACACAATCCTAACCAAAACAGCTCAGAGACTAATGAAAAGATCCGTGGAAAGTAAAAATAAAACAAAAAAAAAAAAAAAAAAAAAAAACCAAATCTGCTGCCGTCAAGTTGATTCCGACCCATAGCGACCCTACAGGACAGTCAAACTGCACCACAGCACTGTACAATTTTCTCTTGGTTCTAGCGTACTGCCCAAGGTAAACCTGGACCAACGTCCTTGAGGACAGGGAGTTGAAACTGGACTATAAGCTCAATGAGGGCAGGCACCTTGCCCCAGATTTGAGTACAGAGACTTGCACACAGAAAATATTTAAAAAGAAAAAACAACAACTTTATTTTATACTTAAGATCTGGCAGCAAGTTTATGCCTTAAGGAAATCCTGGCATGGTTTTCAAAAAGCACTCTAGCAAAAAACCCAGTAACGGAGGAAAATGCAAACATCTTGAAAGGGGCTTGCTGCTTTCACAAGGGCTGAACTACCCTTCTCCCAACAGGTGTCAGGGACAATAGGGCTGTTTAGATCCTCCTTTTATCTATCTTTAATATTCCTTGCTCCCCCTTAAGTGGAAGGAAAAAAAAAAGACAAATGGTGTAAAGATTCATAATGACAAGGAGAAATTAAAGCCAAAGAGGAGAAAAGATGCAAGAAAAATACTGACCTCTGAGCGACAGCTCTCTGCTGACCCAGTGGTACGGTTTGCTCCAGCCAATGAGCTGAGAAGGCTAAAGCCTTGGTTCCTATCTGAAAAGAAAAAGACAATCACTGAAAATTGTCATTCACATTTTAAATTGTTAAAGTGACTGTGATGATGAAACAATGGCTATATCGTCACTATCCAAGTTCTAACTATAAGAAAAACAGTTACTATCAATTACCATAAGCTCTCAATTCTGAATAATAAAAAAGTAAAATTATGGGTCAAATATAAAAGCAGGAGCATTATACAACCACAACAAAACAAATGGCTACTGTTAAACAGTGGTTCTGTTTTTTTTTTTTTTGAAGATTAACAGCACGGATGTTTTGATAGTCATTATGCACTAATAAGGGGCAGTGGTTAAACACTCAGCTGCTAATCAAAAGGTTGGCGATTCGAACCCACCAGCCATTCCTTGGGAGAAAGATGTGGCAGTCTGCTGCCATGAAGATTTACAGCCTTGGAAACCCTACGAGGCAGTTCTACACTGTCCTATAGGATCACTATGAGTTGGAATTGACTCAACAGCAATGGGTTTGGGTTTATGCACCAATATTACCATGTTTTAAACTATCAAAGACATTTTAAAAAATGAATGCTAAGGCATTATTAAAAAACAAACTCGTTGCCGTCAAGTCAACTCCGACTCATAGCAACCCTACATGACAGAGTAGAACGCCCCATAGGATTTCCAGAGAGTGACTGGTGGTTTCGAACTCTAACCTTTTAGTTAGCAGCCAAGCTCTTATCCACTGTGCCACCAGGGCTCCCACGGCATTATTACCAAGTAAAAAGCAACATGCATGCTTTTTGAAATAAAGCTCTAATTTTGATAAGCCATTTAGAGCTAAGGCTCCCAAGACTTTATTCTCAGTACAAATCTAGAGGAGAACGTCTAGAAGTGATGGAAGTATAAGACCACCCCTGATCCAGCAGTGATCCCCATCATCACCTGGAGCGCTTATTAGAACGACCCCAGTATTCAAAGGGCCCTACTCAGAGGCACTGAATTAGAAGTTCTAGAACAGAGGTTAAGGAATTTGAATTTGTGGCAAGTACTCCAGGAGATCTTAGGATCATGGAAGTTTGAAAACACAGTCTTAGGGTAGAACATAAAGCCCACAGTCCAACAGTTTAACAGTGTAGATGTCAAAGAACTTCTGTCTCCAAAGACACACTCCCATCTTGCCTCTCCTCTCCCCATCCCTCCCCTGATCCATTCTCATTTCTTTCTCTAAACCACCTACAGACTTCCTATATTCTTTCTCCTGCCTGGGAAAACCTATTGTCAGATACTTGGGTCATACAGAGGTATCAAGGAAAGAGAAACTTCGGTAGTTTCCCTCTTCTTTCCTTTCACTTGGGGAGATCTGCCGTTTAAACTGGGATGAAGCCCTCACTGTGGAATGCTGGGCATTAGCCTGCAGCTCTTTTGTCCCTGACCTCTCACCATATAGGCAGTCCCCCAGCCTACCTAGTGCACACTGTCATCAGTCCAGTACCTACGCTTTCAGCACCGCAAGGGCACGGGGCAGCACCAAGAGCCTGCTGTTGCCCTCCTGCCCTCTTGCTCCATCCACAACCTCAACGCTGGCAGCACGATCGAAGGTGTACACGCACTGCTGGAACGTCCTTGCACCACCTCCAGCTGGCTCACTCTGGGAGGACTCTCCAGGCCGGATGCCTGAGTGTGCCAATGCACACCAGGGCACGAAGTGTTCATGAAGGTAGGATGGGGAGGCTCAGGGGTCTGAGAGCAGATCGATGCTGACTCCTATACTAGTAAGACAGTTTCACTGAGCCTGAGTATGTTAATTCAAACGTCAACATAGTCCTTTCTTTTTGGCCAATGTGCTACTGATATTAAGGCAATTGTATGCAGTTATGCAATAAACCCAAAACCAAACCCACTGCCCTCGAGTCAATTTCAGCTCATAGAATAGAAGTGCCCCATAGGGTTTCCAAAGCTATAAATCTTTATAGAAGCAGACTGCCACATCTTTCTCCTGCGGAGTGGCTGGTGGGATCAAACCACCAATCTTTTGGTTAGCAGCCAAGTACTTTAACCACTGCGCTACCAGGGTTCCTCAATAGACAGGGGTTTTATGTATCATGAGCATACATGAGAACTCTTATGATATACTTTAGGCTATTTGTACAAAAGGCATTATCTGAGTATTAGCACACCACTGTAAGAGAGCCCTCACTTCTGTTACTGTAAATAACTTGGGCTTTGGGGAATTTTCAAATCCAATTCACAAACCTCACTATATTCCAATTCCATGGTTTATTTTTTTCCTCTGTTAGGCATTACCTAAATTTGGCAGGCCAGACTCAATTCATGAAGAACAATGCAATACAATGTCAGTTTATGCATATTTTTAGACCAAAACAGTCTATTTAAAATGTCCCATTCTTTTCAGTTGCTGCCCACAAGTGGGGAACAGGATGGACACAGGTTAGCAGTGAGAGCTAGCCTCGGCACTGTATACGTTAACCCTTTTCGTATCTCTTGACTTCTGTTCCATGCTCATGCATTACCTGTTCAAAGAAATTTTTTTTTTTAAGATTTAGTGTCTCATTCTAATAATGGATAAAATTGTGGAAAAAGTCAGAATGGTGGAATGACAACTAGGCTAGTGGCCAGAAAGCCTGAATTTCATTCCTGGCTCTGCCTTCCTCTGTGATCTTGGACAAATCAACCACTCTGTGCTTCAATTTTCTGATCTATAAAATGAAGACAAGGAGCCCTGGTGGTGCAGTGGTTAAATGCTTGGCTGCTAACTGAAAGGTCAGTGGTTCGAACCCAGCAGCCGCTTCGCAGGAGAAAGATGTGACAGTCTGCTTCCATACAGATTTACAGGCTTGGAAACCCTGGGGGGCAGTTCTACTCTGTCCTACAGGGTCGCTATAAGTTGGAATGGACTTGACGGCAACAGGTTTTTTGGTTATAAAATGAGGAGATTGCTATTCCTATTTGTCAAAGTCCTTTCTGATCTAAAAGTTTGTGATTTTATGAAGTAGAAGAGCCATTCTTTAGCTTCTCTCTCCTTTTTTTTTTAACTTTAGCCTCTCTTGACAACTTGGAATTAGCTGGGTTTAAGTATCACTATTTTAAAATTACTTAATAGAGAGAAAAATAATAACCTTTAAGTTCAGAAGCCTTGTAAGGTTCACAAAGACTATGAGTTTATAATCAGGCTTCAGGTTAATTACAATGAGCTTGAAAAACTTTTGCTCAGAACTTTCTTATAAACAATGCAGAATTCAGTCAACCAACAGGACAGCCCATTATGTTCCATGGATTGTATTTTAAGGAAGTTAGAAACTTATAAATTTACACTATTAGAAAAAACTAACTTTGGTTTATCCAAAGCAGGTTGCTTGCACATTAATATTGCTCAAAAAAGTTGGATAAAATTTTACACACATATGGCTTTAAAGCAGCTCTCAGTTTTGCTTGGTTCAATGTTTCTCAAAATGCTGCCCACGTGCACCCACTGTCAAACTATTCTTGTCATAGAAAAGAATTATATAAATCTTTTCATCTTTGCTAGATTTTTTTCTCCCCAGGATTCAGGGCATGGAAATGTCATTCCTATGAAGATGGATTTATCCCTTTAGCAGGTAGTTGTTGAAACTGGCTCTAGCATCTATGGTTTTATTGATGTCACAAAGTACTAGCCTCACAAGGAATAAAAGACACCACCTACTCAACTCCTTCTCCTAGAACTTCAGGGCCACAGAAAGGGGAAGTAAAGTGATGCAAAATAAATTATTCTGGAAGGCATAGTAAGTATATTAAACTCTGGTCCTATAACCATCTAATTTAGTTTCAGTAGACCAGTAAGTTAGCACCAGTGGAATAATAGATAAAAATGACAGTATAATGGAAAAATCCAGTGGTGCTGGTCAAGAGCATAGAATTCTTCCAGGAAGTGTCAAAAACAAAATGATAGCCTTTGGAGTACATATCTGAAATGGGGAATTCTCAGGCATTGGGAAGGCTTTTTTTTTTTTTTTTAATAAAAAGTTTCAAGAAAAGCTGAAATATATGGAACTGTTTAGATACCGCCTCACAAAAAAGGGTACAGTGTTATTTTAGAAATACAAAATGCATCATTTCATATAGCTATTTTGAGCTACATTATATGAGACATTTAGAGAATTAAACATCTAGGCAAAAAAGGAAAATTTTAGTATGGGGAAAGAGAAAAAGTAATAAAATTTAAAAAAAAAAGTATTTTTTTTCCTTCTAATTTTTTTGCTCTTCTCCCACTCCTCCAGTTTATCAAGGCAATATAGTAAGCACAGGAAATTGGAAACAGATAAAGGTCTAGATTTTCTACTCTTTGCTGTGTAGTCTGATGCAAGTTATGCCTTCTCTGTACCTCAGTTTCACCTTCATACAATACTCACCTTTCAGGATTGTTGTAAGGGTTAATAATAATAATAGCTAACATTTACTGAGTGCTAAATATGTGCGAGGTAATGCTTTAAGTACTGACTATACACACTTCATTAATAACTACAGTAACAACAATTAACTAGGATAGCTACTTTTATTTTCCTCTTTTACAAAACAGACAAAAACTCAGAGATTAAATAACTTGTCCGAAGTCACACAGCTGAAACTAGAACTTGAACTCCAGGTCTCTCTGATTCTAAATTACATGCTGTTTCCATTAAGCCAAGAGGTCTTGGAAACATGTAAAGATTGAGACTGTCAATGCTGGATGTACAAATACTGTGTATGACACAAACTTGGGTCAAGTGCAAAAAGATGTTTCTAGTCATATACAGTTTTTGTTTGCCAGTAATCTTTCATTATGTCCCTGTTATAGACTGTGATTTTAACTGAACTAAGCTGAACAGGTCAGAACTGAATAATTTAATCACATGCTGCTCCAATGCCACTCACTAACTGATCCCAGCCCAGCCCTGTAACTCCTGGAGGCACTGGTCATTGCTACTTGCAGACAGGTGATTAGGCTCCACTGTCCCTCAAGTACTTGCAGATAAGGGTTTCTCAATCACAGCACTA